TGGCTCACATCCGGTAGCGAGAGCTTTCTTTGCTTTGTAATACAATTCGATCAGTTCGCAAGGCATTTTCCCTGGAAAAACTAGCCAACGATGATAGGTGCATTAACAGGTTTTACACTTAAAAATCAATTACAAGAAACTTTCGACCGCTAGCTAAATGCAGAGTATAATTAATATGATAATTTGCAGTGTTGACGTCTCTTACTGAATCAGTTGAAGCGACCGGGCGATATCATTTGCGCCGCTTACGTTACGTCACGAAAATGCTCATACTCTGTAATGGATATAAACGAAGAGGTAAGCTCATCAGGTACCATAGGGAATGCCTAATCGATACCGTTTTTTTCTTCAAACTTTCAATCGAACTTTTTACTGCGAATGCGCTACCATAGAAGGCTTTTCTAATCAGGGATACTAAATGAATGAAAGTCCCCCTACATACCTTCTTTTATGCTGTCGACGAACTGAACAACGTTACTTTCTAGCGAAGCAATCACGTCTCGAATAGGCCCTCCAGAAAACCACCCACGAACGACTTCCTGGAAAACGTAGCATTCCGAATCAGCCATTATTTTCGTATAGATAGATTTCACTGAAAAGTTTTTGACGTCATTAGTTTATTAATGGAGTGCACTATTCATTTGGGTCTCATTCAGAATCACCGTAAAAACTACATTTCTTCCGGACCTACTGAAAAGTCTTCATTCAATACTTTATTCTTAGGAAGCCGACTGCGAAAATAGGAGCTCTTCCGCGAAATAAAAATTGAATTTACAAAGATTCTGGTCTTCAAATTTCTTGAGCGAAAGACTACATCTCATATGGCTTGGGCATTGAATAGGTCGATTGATGTATTGCCATCACTGGACCGATGCTGATCGTATTGAAGTAGACTTCAGCGGGCTCTACACCGCTTTGACTGACCAAAAATGAAAATAAGATAGTATCCGACTTTTTCATTTTGCAATTCGTGGTGTATCTTCTTCCTTCGGGGAGTTTTCATTGCTTTTTCTCAAAATAGTGGGGGAAAATGATTTGAAGCCCAGCGAATTAAGTAAGATTCATTACCTGAAGAAGGTTTTTGGCTAATCTGGTTTTTCCGGTATATATGAGCACCATGCGACTATTAATTTCTTTCTCAAACTCCTCTTTGATATTGATTTTCTCCACGTCTACACTATCATCAGTCTTGTTGAAGAAACCTTAAATGCATTGCTCAGAAAATATCGACTTATTGAATCTCAAAAGTTTGAATTTTGTTTGCCAAAACACTTTGAACTCTCTGTTAAAGTCTGAGAGGTGAGAGTGAGACCTTTCTTGATTCCTGGATAGAGACAGCCAACTTGATCCTGCCATCCACCGCCTGTAGTCAACAGCTGTTCTACCATTAGTACCTAAATTTGATGTTATTTGTTGTTTTCTCATGTTTTCAATAAGCTTTCACCAGCGCTCATTTAAAGGCTTCTTCACCCTTGAGTTTCATTTCAGCAGTCTGATATGAGGGTACTAAGGAAATTTTTCGATTCTGTTGAGTCCTTAATCTTCACGAGGATAGTTTCTGGCAGATGTACTGCATTGAGTCGCAATCCCGCACTGCTCTATAGAACTCGCGAAATGGGTAGATTTCTTCACTGGAATACTCTTTTTCTGGTTGTTTAGAATATCAAGTGTGGTATGCGTAGTTGGTATTACTATTAAATACCGATGTTATCAAAAAAATCATCAAACACCTCTGTGGATTCATCCATCACCATCGAAAGTTATCACTGTAAAAGAGCACAGACGATCAGAAACTAGGGGTGACTCAATCAGCAGTCTCATGGGGTCTGCGGAGCTCACTTTCGAAAGTCCGACCATTCTGAGAATTGAGGTCCTCGCGTTCAGCACATCATCACAAGAGTACTTTAAGGAAGAACGAGCCAAAAGGGCTTTTCATCAAGAAAGGGAAACTAGGTTTTTGGATAACCATATAAGAGACGACAAAAGGACTTACAGCATGACAGATGCTCTTTTCCGAATACTGGAACCCACTCGCTAATCCTAGCGCTTGAATAATAGCTGCGGCTAGTATCGATGATGTCCCGAGTCCTGAAGACCCGTAGTTTGCTAATTTTTGAAGTATGTAATTTCACCGATTATCAATACCGGATCCATGTGGTAGGCAAGAAGTGCACTCGATCTCCAAGCCCGTGGTACTAAATCGCTTCTCAAGTGTCTCGGAAAGGTCGTCTTCGGGTCCACTTGGTATACCTACACATATGAGGCAGGCACACACCAGTGCCCCTAGGTTGGTAACACTTGGTTTCAAGTGAGCAATTAAGTTGTTCCCAAAGCTGTGGCCAAATAAAGCTTACCTGGATTACCCGGCTTGTTATATGACTCGTATATATCTTGGGACGATGAGAGTAATACTACCGTATCCCCACATCGTACGGTAATGCCAGCATCGGGACTATGTCGTATATGACATGCTATTGGTTTCTGAAACGCAGACGTCTTCTTTTTAAAAATTGTCGAATCCTATGTGGTATACAATTGAATGATAGTATAAATTATCATGAGCTGTGCTTAACTGGGTAATTACGAAATCTTGAGGGTAAAGCCTACCTTCCCATCTACAAGTATTGCCATATTCACGACAGCTGAAGGTTTGGCGTACAAGGTAATGGGTGGAGTATCCAACCAACCACCGAAAAGATCAACCTGGAATTGGAAAGCTTTGAGTTTTAAGTGTAGCACTATTTGAGTTGTTTTCTTGACAGGACCTTCATAAGAGGTAATCTGGAGGAACTACTGTAATAATCAAGTTATAGAACCACACAGAGGCGGATTATTGTTACCCAGCGAACCTTCGAGCTGGAGAACTTAAACTTGAGAACTCGTCACTAAGCAGGGTGAGTTGCCCCCCCCCCCCCCCCCCCCCNGGGACTAGACTTACCCTAGCCGCAGCTTCCACTGTGACGCTCTGTGGGATAGTATCCTTTGATCCATTCGGTATAGCAGCGAAATGCTAAACAGAGCAACATGTTTGCATTCATTCTGTAGGTAGTATATTTTCTATCGTAGTTTCGGTGAAGTTAGGAAGTATTTGCAGAGGATTTGTGTTACTTACCCTCACTTCTGTGCGCAGGTCTAAAAAATTCATTTGAAATGCATGGAAACAATCTTGTTTTTTGAGAGCAGCTTGGCAACAAAGTGAGATGGCATAGTCTATTCAAAAAACTTAATCTAACCTTCCGGCAAATCTTCTCCACTTCGTGCTGTGTATAGATCTGCGCAGCAGCTTCCAAATGACGTGCTGAAAGTGTGGGTGTTGAAAGGGAGACAAGCAAACCACACAGTATTGTTAAGTTTATTGTTTTTCTGAACTCTTCACGAGGTTTGTAAAGAAGCTTTATTGGCTGACGTTTCGGCGATATCGCCTTTTCCAGAGCCTGAAAGGATCATAACGATTTGTTTTAATAATTTTAATGAGGATTCACCCGAGCTGACACTGGTCGGTTGCTACCATCATTTGACCACCATCTGCTGGATGGTTTAGAAGATTCCACGAAGCTACGGTGAGTGCCTCTCCCTTCGATCACTTGCGTGCCCTGGGGGTCTCGAACTTCGGTGAGTTGGTGGAGACGTTTGGTCGGATAGTCACAGATTTTTATGATCCTTTCAGGCTCTGAAGAAGGCGATATCGCCGAAACGTCAGCTTAATAAAGCTTGTTTACAAACCTCGTGAAGAGTTCAAAAAAGCAATAAACTCAACAATACAGTTATGCCGAGGTTCATAGAAAGCCGTACTTGGAAACAAACCAGACAGTTTGGCCCTTCTGCTGAATGCATTTGCATTCTCTCTGTTTGTTTTTAATTTTACTTTAACGCATATTTTACGCTTGTTCTTGACCGCGACTTCATTCTTATAGTTGTGGGGGTGAAATTAAAACAAACAGAGAGAATGCAAATGCATCTAGCAGAAGGGCCAAACTGTCTGGTTTGCTTATCTCGTTGGAAGGCGGTTAATGATAACTAGGAAGCGATGGTCAAAGTTGGTTTTGTAACCCTTGATTCTTTCATGCTCTCCATTGAAGATTTTTATATGTTCATTTCGAGCATCGTTATTGCGGGGCTTTTTAAGGAGTTCATGACGGCTTCTAGTCATCCCATTACTCCACAGTCAAGGATGAGCAACAACTTCGACTTTGGAGCGGGAACTGCAAAAATATCAGGTAGGCCCTGATATTTTCTACCCATTCACGAGAGAGGCTGTGCCTTTATTGTGTGAGGTCACTACCCTCTCTCGGATGTGAGCACAATTTAAAAAGAAAGTGGACCGATTATTCGCAAGTATAGGACAAGTAAAGTCATTGAAATACATAATGACTGACCAGCTCTTATCGTTTCTGTTTCGCTTCGAAGCCATTTCTCTCTAACTGCGTGAAATAAGTCGTGTATATGATTGCCGTTCGGGTCCTGTAAGAAATGTTAAGTCAAATCAGATGTGATGAGCTTTTACAGTACTTATGACGTAGTCATTAATGAGTAACAGTCTCAACTTATAGAAAAGAAGTTCTCCAAGTGGGTTTCTCTGTTTCCCGCCCATATTCGATCAAGGGTAACCCATCCGAGTCGTTAGAAAAAGTTAGATCAACAATGATACGATTATCTGGTCGCTCTAGACTGATTACTTTCGTGGCTTTATATGTGCCTAGTACCTGAAAGACCGTTGAAAATGAGGTGATAGTGGAGAATGAGGTGGTAATGTCCTAATTCTGAACGACCCTGCGAGCCTGCAAGATAGCAACTGGCTCAGAAATCAACTTTTCACACTCCTCACTTTTTTCATCGATTCGAAAATATGAGTGAAGGCTGGATTCGCGGCAGGACCGCTCCGTAGTCCACCTCGTCCACGAGCACGTATGGCCAGATATTCGGCCGTCAACATCAGAGCACGAGCGCAATGAGGAATGCTTTCAACGCACACTGAAAAGAATCCATTCATCAGCTTTACCGTTACAGTCATGCGCTCACTAATATGATCGTATTCAATTTACCAACACGATTCGAGTTCGGCTAGTATGTCCTTCTTCATGTGAGGGTAGTTGATATTGATAGCCATCAACGTTTTTAGCAGAGCCCTTGAGTATTCCTGGCTATCAGTCAGAACCATGGCCGAAATGCGTGACAAAACGGAGTTTTGAAGATTGACTCTGAAGTTTCGTTGAAACTCTTGATACCTAATTGCTTTTAATTTGTAGGAGACAACGTACATCACTTCTCGTTTCGGAACCATGCTGCCGGAGTGCTGAAGATCACCTAGGTATTCGTAGTGAGTGAGTGGGAGACAGTCTTAAAGATCACGTTTTCGTAACTTTAACGGAGGAATCTCACGGATATTCCACCGTGGTACTCATTGAAGGATCTCCACTGATTTGGTAAAGAGGCGGCTTCAGGCTGCAGAGAAGGGGTAAATAATAGGACAGAAGTTACCGGTGATGCATGACAGTACAGTTGCACGCGTTTTGGATGCATTTAAGTTAAAGTAAGCTCAATTAGGACTGGTAATTAGAACTTGATTACAGTGGTATTCAGTTGAATAGTGCTGTGAGTCA